AAAAAAAAAAAAAAAAAAGCCTAAAAGGTAGAAAGCCAGGAGGGAGTAGTTGGATAAAAGTCAGAACTACAAAAAGGGTTCAAAGTGAAAAGGAGTGAACAGTGCCAAATGCAGCAGAGAAGTTAAAATAGAGTGAAGACTAAAAAGTGACTCTTAGATTTTACAAGTCAAAGGTCATAAGACCTCTGCAAGAACAACAATAATTGTATGAAAATAGGATCACAGAGGACTGAAAGGTGAAGGGAGATGAATTACTAATAGGAGAAATCAACTACTTTTCAGAAGGCTCTAACCAAGAGGAAAGAGGGCAGTAGCTAGAAGAAGATTGAAAAAGTACTTTTTCTTTAGGAATCAGAAAATATTTGAGCATAGTACTGAAGGAAGAAGCCAGTTGAAAAGAACACATTGAAAATGCAGAACAAAGAGGTTTAACTGATAGAGTTGGTTCCTTAAAGTAGGAAGAGATGGAATTTCGAATATAGGTAGAGTGAGTATCCTTACACAGAAGATGGAGCACCATATCCTCTGAGATAGAAAAGAAGTTGGTAAGGATAATAGTGAGAAGAAGAGGTGTCATATGCATTTTTTCATAAAGAAGGACACGTTTCAATATGTGCTTATAGAGAGGAGTGTTACCATGGTGTAGCCAGTTTGAAAGCAAGGCACAAGGAATATCTGCCTGGTGAAACAGGACTGGGAGCCAACCAGGTACACATAAAATAACTGTTCTGTGGCCCTTTGATTACAGAACCGCAGCTACGACTACAAGGCATAAATCTGTGATAGTACCAACTAACATGTCTATGGGATTTATTTATTTGCAGCAATGCTTAGAGGTCAGGTGGTAAGAGCAAAGAATGACTGTGGCTAGCAGGGCAGGTAGAGTGGAAGGATAAGGACAAGGTAGAATGGATGAAGTGCTACACCACCAGGTCTTGGTATACAGGGGAGAAAGAATAAGTTTGGGAAAAGAGGAGTTAAAAGTGCAGAGGTTTCCAAGAGAGAGAAGAACTATGCTAGCTGGATTAAAGATGCGAAAGTTGGAATTATAAAAGTTCAAAGAACTAGTAAGTACAGAATGTTTGATAAGTTGTACGTTGACATTCAAATTTCTTCAGATGAGGGGAAGAACCAAGACAGAAAAGGTGGCAAGGCTGTTCCCAACATCCTTAACGAAAGAGGAAGAGTAACTAGGAAGTGTAGAGGGTAGTATAGCTAAATGAAATAGATCTGAAAGGAGGAGGGGCTTTTGTAAGGAGCAAGAAGAATAGTGAAACTGCCCTGGGCAGTGTGGATCATATGATTTGGGAGAATGAGTAATCTTTGTAATAGGGGTACAAGAAAAAATGATATTCCTAGAAAGGTAGTCGGGTTGCAGGTAAAAAAGGAGTTAAAGAGATGTGGAAAAAAGTTTTTCAACCTTTTTAACTTCTCAGTTAAGCAGACACCTCAAGTAGTAGCAGAGCATGACAGTAGCAACCATGTTCTTTGTTTAGGGCTCCAAATGGAGTCAAAAGTCACTGGTGGACAGAAAAAGATGCTGGATTTCACTAATGATTAAAGAAACACAAATTAAAACGATATAAAATTTATCACCTATCACATTGGCAAAGAGCAAAAAGATTGATTTAACCATTGCTGCCAAAATGGAAAAATAGGCACTTTTGGCAGGAATGGAAACTGGTACTACCTATTTGGAGGGCAATTTGGCCACATCTATTAAAATTTGAAACATTCATACTCTTTGACTCCGAAAATTCATTTCTATAAAGATATATGTTTAAAGGTATTTGATGCAGCAATATCTGCATTCGTGAAAAATTAGGAACAACTAAATTTTCTATCAACAGGGGACGAAGGTAGATTACCACAATGGAATATAACATAGTTGCTGAAAAGAATGATGTAGGACTGACTGAACTATCTTTAAAAATGCTCATTAAACAGTAAGTACAAAAAGTCAATTAAAAAACAGTATGGGCCGGGCGTGGTGACTTACACCTATAATCCCAGCACTTTGGGAGGCTGAGGCGGGCGGATCACCTGAGGTCAGGAGTTCGAGACGGGCCTGGCCAACATGGCGAAACCCCATTTCTACTAAAACCCCAAAAATTAGGCAGGCATGGTGGCATGCTCCTGTAATCCCAGCTACTTGGGAGGCTGAGGCAACAGAATCCCTTGAACCTGGGAGGCGGGGGTTGCAGTGAGGCAAGATCACGCCACTGAATTCCAGTGTGGAAAACAAGAGCAAAACTCAGTCTCAAAAAGAAAAAAACAGTATGCATAGTATGAGCTCATTTTTAAAAGTATTAATATGTGTAACTCTATATGTTGAAAAACTCTAGAGCAGCAGCACTGTCCAATATGGTAGTCACTAGCCTATAGCTACTTAAATTTGAATTTGTTAAAACTAAATAAAATCATAAATTCAGTTCCTCAGTCTCACTAGCCACATTTCAAGTGCTCAATTTCCACATGTAGTGGGTACTGTATTAGATAGTACAGATACAGAACATTTCCATCATCACATAAAGTTCAAATGGACAGTGCTGACTGAGGGGCATAAACATTAAACTACCATCAGTGATGTATGTATGTTGTGGGACAAACTATGGAGAATGTTTACATTTTATGTTATATATTTCTGAAATGTTTACTTCTTTGATAATGTACATACATTGCTTTTTTATGAGAAAATAAGTAAATAAAATAAACATTTGAAAAAGAAGAGAGAGAAAAAGAAGTAACATAGTATATTAGAGACGCAAGAAGTCCACTACAGCCAAGTTGGGGCAAGATTGTGAAAGACTCTGAATGTCAAGCTTACGGGGTCTTACTGGCAATAGAATTGATAACCAATGGAGGATTTTGAGTTTAAAGTGACATGATCACACATGTTCAAGAAAAATAACTTTAGTAGCAATTTGGTTGCCAAACTAGAGAGAGAATACTAGAGACAAGTAAAACAGTTAAGAAGTTATTATACTGTGGGCAATGAATGGTGGCTATCTTAACTACAGAAGTTGCAGCAGAGACTGGGAAGAAAAGACAGATTTGAGAAACACTTGTTAAGCAGAACACATGGGACTTGGCAACAGCCAGATGGAGGAGAAGAGGTAGAATTTAAGGCTAACTGAGGTTCTCAAGCCTGGGATACTTGATAGGTGGTAATAGAGATAGGGAACACAGAAACACTGTGTAATCCAAGCCTATCTTTTTGGTCACTCATTTTAATTCAACCAATATTTATAAGGCTGTACTGTCTCTCAAATCTCCTTCCCCTCTATCCTCACTATCTTTGGTCTAATAAATTTGGTTTCAGAAGGAACTATAGATATATTGATGTAGAATCTATGAGAAAGGAATAGTACAAAGAATTGTTAGAAGAGTGGGCTTGAAACAAGTGACAGGGTCACATAGTGAACATTAATAACAATGAAAAGTACAGGCAACAGGACTAGGAAAGCAAAAAGGTAGGATATTAGGGTTTGGATATTTAAGGCAGTTAATTATATACAATCTTCAAACCTTTTAAGCCAGAGCCTATATATAACATATATATAACATTGCCTTCAACTGAGAAAATTAACAGCAGATGGATGAAAAGTCAATATCACCTTTACTTTTACCAAATAATGGGGGTGGGATGAAGAGGGAGAGTTCTCTTGTAGGAATATATATAAAAAAAAAAATGTTAAAATGAGAAAATATACACTGATTTTTTTTTTTTTATTTATTTTTTAAGAAAACAAACCACTTAACAAAGGCTACAGAGCCTAGGGTCCCAGAGATCAGAAAATAAATAAGTCAGCATAAATACAGGGTGACAAAGCCTGACTAGGCTGCATTTAGAGGCAGATCTATACAAAGGAGTTTAAAAAAATAGGTCTTTGTACTCAGAGTTCTGAAAACTCAAAGATATATAAGCTCTGCATTTATGTCACACTCACTCTTGTATTTGATAACTTAGAATCAACATAAAAATACATCACAGAATAACTGAACTAGAGATCAATTATTATCAATTATCAATTAGAGATCACCTAAGTGTTTTTAATGTGAGGTTCAGGGGTCTGTGGACCCCCTGAAATTAAGGTTCATTTTCTGTATGCATCATCATATGTTCATTTTTCCAGTGGAGGAGAGAGCTAATCATATTCCTAAAGAATTCTGCAGCTGCCCGAAAGTTACATCATTAGACTTTTGTTCAAAGATGAGACAGAGAGAAGAAAAGAGACTTGCCCAAGGGCACACAGTAAATCAGTGGCAGAGCTGAATCTAGAAACTAGGTTTCTTTTTAATATTCTTTCCACCATGGCACACTACTACTTCAACATATCACATAATTAAAGTCAGTGCAAATTTTAAAAGTCCTGATTATTACCTTTGTAATGAAAATTCCAGCATCCATAATAGCTTTAATGTGTCTTAACCACCCTGAGCTCTCCAGGCCGCTAAGAAATTCACTCATTGTTGGAGTTTTCAATTCACAAACTAAGGTAGAAAAGGAAGCAGAGATTGAAATTCACAATCAACTCAATTTATTAATTAAGAAAGGGGAGAAAGTGGATCTTCATATTGTAAGTGAGGAAGCTGAGGCAGAAAGGTTAAATGAGTAGTTAGAAACCACACAATGAGTTAGGGACAGAACTGGGTCTAAAGCCTACCAGATCTCCTAGCCTGGGCCTCTGCTTTATCATGCTATAGAACCCACTCTCAAGCCCTTAGAAATCTCTCAAGAAGACAGCCAGAAGATTGAGTTAGAATCTACAGGAAAACACATCTCCTCTGATTAGAAAACATATTTGATCCCTATCCTAATCCTACCCACCTATACTAACTCTGAAGGCCCTCAGCTTCTGTCTCTACTCCCACACACCCATCTACTCCCTGTAGCCCTGTTCTGTCAACAGGTTGAAAAAAATTACCAGTTAACTTTTATGCACCTTGCAATGATTATCCAGCAGAGGTAAATCTTTTACCTTAAAAACCTATAAAGCAAAGTCCTCTTCCATAAGATATTCTGGGGCAAAAAA